GGCTGGGCCAGGCTGAGCCTCCTGCCCGCTGCCCGGGGATCCCAGTGGTGAGGCCCAGACCACCTCTGAGGGAGAGAAGAGCTGGAGTGACCACTGATGTAGAGAAGGCAGCCTCTGGCCTCCCGCTCCCACACTTGGCCTTGCGAACCTGCTCGCAGCAATCAGCTGCCTGCGGAGGAGGCAGGGCAGGAGGGGCGAGGTCTGCCTCCCCCGTGCCCTGTCCTCGGCAGCTCCCCGGGGGCAGGGGGCCTCTCCCCGGAAGAGGTGGCTGCCTTCCTCAGCTTGTTCTGTTCCCCACTCACACCCCTGGCAGGGTTGGAAATGAAGGACTTTTTTAACCATTTGTTTTTGTTTTTTAAAAATAAATCTGTAAAATCTGTTTCTATGCCTTTCTTTCCTGGGGATGCCTGTCCCTACAGGTATAGGTCTTGAGTGGTGCCAGTTCACCCCTAGGAGCGGGGTGGGTCCCTGGTTGGGATAGCATCTCCTCCGCACTTCGCTGGGCTGGGCCACTGAGGGCACCCTCAGCCCCAGTCCTCACAGGGGTGGCAGATTCCCCGTCTCCTCACATGGTGTCCCTTGAAGTGGAGGGTCCAGAGCCCCTTCAGCTCTGAGCCCCGTCCCCACCATTCCCATTGGGGAGACAAGTCCCCATTGGGGGTATCTGGGACACCTGAGGCAGAACCCTGACTCCCATCCTCTAGCAGACACCTTTAGTGGTCGCTGCTCAGTGTCCAGAGAGCCTTGGGATGGCTCTGGTTCACTCAGCGTGTTCTGAGCATTGTTTGGATGCTGGAATAGCAAATTATTAGAAAGCCATCGTCCCCCAGGAAGTAACACCTAAGCCTCGAATGAAAGAGAAAGCTCATTTCAGGCCCAGGCAGCTCACCCGAAGGCAGGAGCATGAAGGTGGGAGTGCAGACCAGCAGGATGTGAGGGGGTGGTGGGATGGGCTATGTTGACCTGTGCCTCTGTGAGCCAGGCTTTGTGCTGGCAACGAGGCCTTGGTGGGGAGCAGGACACTGCTGTGCCTGCTGGCACGGAGCTTACATCTCGCTGCACCTATCTCAGGAAGGGAGGAGGGCACCTGGCCTGCTCCTGACCTTCTCTAGGTTTTTCCTTCAGTGTTTCCACTTGTTTAAAACATAGGATTTAGGCCGAGGGCCAACCTACTGAATCAGAGAATCTAAGGGTGGGGCCCTGGAAGATCAAGCCCACAGAGCCAATACCCTCATCTTGATAGCACCTTTCTGGAAAGCCTGTTAAAATGTAGCTACTCCTGCCCTGGCTGATAGCTCAGTTGGTTAGAGCATAGTCCTGATACTGATACACTAATGCAGTGGTTCTCAACCTGTGGGTCGCGACCCCTTTGGCGGTCAAACGACCCTTTCACAGGAGTCGCCTAAGACCATTCTGCATATCAGATATTTACATTACGATTCATAACAGCAACATTACAGTTATGAAGTAGCAACGAAAATAATTTTATGGTTGGGTCACAACATGAGGAACTGTATTTAAAGGGCCAGAAGGTTGAGAACCACTGCTCTAATGGGTTCCATCCCCAGTCAGGGCACCTACAAGCAGCAACCAATGAATGCAAAAATAAATGGGACAACAAATCGATGTTTCTCTCGCTCTCTAAAACCAATTTTTAAAATATATGTACTGTCCTAGCCGGTTTGGCTCAGTGGATAGAGTGCTGGCCTGTGGACTGAAGAGTCCCAGGTTCCATTCCAGTCAAGGGCACAATCCTGGGTTGCGGGCTCGATCCCCAGTAGGGGGCGTGCAGGAGGCAGCCGATCCATGATTCTCTCTCATCAGTGATGTTTCTCTCTCTCCCTCTCCCTTCCTCTCTGAAATCTATAAAAATATATTTTAAAAAAATAATAAAATAAAATAAATGTACTACCCGGAAGAGGAGGAAAAACAGATTACAGGCTTACCTTGAATTTTTGCGCTTTATTGCAGTTCACAAATACTGCATTTTTCCCCCCAACAAATTAAAGGATTCTGGCAACCTTGCCTCGAGCAAGCACTTTCCAACAGCATCTGGTCTCTGAGTCTCTGTGTCTGCTGCTGGGAAGATGCTGGGAAGACTGTTGGAATGAGATTAGCACATGAACTGATTGACAGCAGCAGCAGGGGTTGAGAGGATCTGAGATTTCCAGTTTTAAGTTCTGTGGTAAAATGCTACCAACAGCATCACATGCTACAGAGAAATTGTTTGTGAAGGGAAGAGTCAACTAGGGCAAACTTCATTGTCTTATTTTAAGAAATTCCCCAGTCGCCCCAACCTTCAGCAACCACCACCCCGATCAGTCAGCAACCATCAACATCGAGGCAAGACCCTCCACTAGCAACAAGATTACAGCTTGCTGAAGGCTCAGATGATGGCTAGCATTTTTAGCAATAAAGTCTTTGTAAACTAAGTTATGTGCATTATTTTAGACATAATGCTATTATTACTTAAAAGGCTACCGTAGCCTGGCTGGTGTGGCTCAGTGGGTGAGCTTCGACTCATGAAGCAGAAGGACATGGATTGATTCCTGGTCAGAACACATGCTGGGGTTTCAGGCTCCATCCCCAGTAGGGGGCGTGCAGGAGTCAGCCAATCAATGATTCCCTCTCATCACTGATGTTTCTATCTTTCCCTCTCCCTTTCTCTCTGAAATCAATAAAGAATATATTTTAAAAATAATAAAAGGCTACAGTATAGTGTAAACATGGCTTTTCTATGTACTAGGAAACCAAAAACTTCCCATGGCTCACTTTATTTCAACATTCGCTTTATTGTGGTGGTCTGGCACCGAATCGACAGTTGATAGCCCAGAGGGTGGAGCCAGGACTGGAAAGTCTGGTTGTTCCAGGAGATAGGGAATGGCTCGCAGGACCAGGGGCCAGCATAGCCCCTGAGCTGAGGGGGAAGAGGGGGGGCATAAAGGACCTTGGGGAGGGCACCTAGTGGAGAGGGCACCCGGGTCGCCCACTGCCCTGCCCCTCCCGCTGCAGGAAGTGGGCAGGTACGCTGTGGCCTGGGTGGCTCTGGGCAAGTCTGCACTCTGGACCTCGACATTCCCCTCCTGGCAGACAGTGAAAGCCAGGCCACACCTGAGTTTGTTTTGGTGTGCATGGTGGAGAAGGAAACCTAAATTCCCAAGAGGGCATGGTGAATTTGAGGGAGCTGACTTAGGTAAATATGGGCACTGTTTCCTGTTTTTTTGTTTTTTGTGTGTTTTCTTTTTAAACAAGTTTATTTAAACAAGACACTTGAAGGGAAAACTAGGATTCATTTTTTTAGAGTAATTTATCCCTCCTTAAAAACAGATTGCCCTACGTGTAACAGCTATGTACAAAGCAGTTATAAAATTGTCCTTGGTTTTACAATGATAAATGAAAAACATTAAAATTCTTCAATCCAACAAGGTAGGCACGAATTTGTATGTTGTTCTTTTTTGTTAAACAGTGCGAGTAAAATAACTTACCGGAATATAAAGATAAGAGCTGGATGAGCATGCCACTAATGGAGAAAGGGGGTGTTTTCACAGATCCAGTATTTTCCCCATCCCATCTCCGTGTGATGTAGATCAAAACATAACCATTGGCCATTTAGTTTAAAAAAATGCAAATGCTGGTGCACATACATCAGTTACTTTATGTGCAATAAAGGAATGGGGAAGGGGGAAATGAAAGAATAGAGAAAACTATCCTGTGGCAGTCAGATGTGTTGAAACCAAATTGCAGTTTTCTAATTGAGAATGTCTTCTTGGTCTGGAGGAAGAGTTCTGGAGTAAATAGCAGGTTCCCTTTTTAGCAGACACCTGTCTGCTGCTGGAACACATCGACTGTCTTCCTCCTCCATTTCCAACTGTGCAGGTGTGTCTGTTTCATTGATTGGCTGGCTGTCCGTCAAATTGGAATCTGATCTGCCTCATTGACAAACCCTGTCATTCACAATAGGCTTTCCTTAGTTTACTAAGCGGTGTGTGCCTCTTAATCTTAAACTGCACCCCAGAACCACCCTGCCCCGCCACCTTCAAATTCGTATGATCGTGTTCTCAGTCTTGACTCCTTCCTTGGGCTTTGTGTCGACCATGGCGAGCGCCGGAGTCTCCAGCTGCCGCTTCACAAGAGGAACCAGGCCCGCCCGGAAGGAGCACGCGAGCAGCACCAGGAGCGGCCTGGGCACTGCTGCTTTGCTTTGGGTGGAAGGCCCCACCCCATCGCCGTTTGAAGGGTGCAGCCTTCACTATATTTTTGTTCCTGTTTACACTTTACACAAAATTTCTCCAACCTTTGATTACAGTCCAGAGTTTAAAAAGTGTTTCCAACATTCATGTACATACTTAAATGTATATAATGGAAACAAAACTTTCACAAAACAACACCTACCTTTATGTACCATGCATTCTGGTGTTTTCTTTTCCATTCTCTTCCTGGTCACACTTTTTAAGTCTTGGTCACGATCCATGAAATCGATTTCATGGCTCTCGGATGGATCACAACCTGCATCTCAAAAAACGCTGCCCAGTGCAAACTCTCCAGAAATCCCGTATCCGCTCTCTCGAGTGGCTCTTCCACTGTCCTGGTGACTTACCCATTTGACTGAGGAGGTGAAGAACTCCTGGGTAACCGGTCCAGGATCGCAATCCGCAATCGGGAGGCAAGTGCCCTGAGGCTCTGGCTGAAGCCTTTCTCGATGAGACCAGAAGACACTGGAAAGGGCACTAGGAGCGTAGAGAGGAAAAGGGAGTCAGTACAAAGTAGTGCAGAGCCTCTGGCCAATCAGAGCTGGCCTTCTTCAGGTCCACTCTTTTCCAGGTGATTGGCCCCAAGGGGGTTCCCAGCCCCCACCCCAGCCTGGGGCCAGCCTCCTGCAGCAGGTGCCACTCCTAAGTCCCACACCAGGCCGGGCGTTCATTCCTGCCTGCTCCTGTGGGTGTGGTTCCAGATGGCCTGTAACTGCTTTGTCCCAGGCACAGGGTCATTTGCTTCCCAGCTGAGCTGAGAGAGTTCTTGGAAGGCTGCCCCACCAGCTTCTCAACATGGCTCTCAAAGAGGGACTCAGGTGAGTGGGGACACCCCCAGCGTGGGACAGCTGACCTGAGAGGAGTCTAGAACAGCCAAGGAGGCACCAAGACAGTCCTGGGAGAAGGTGACTCTCAGAGGGAACACGGCCCACGGGGTAGATAGAGACGGCAGGGGACGATCCGGGAGATCTCGTAGCCTGTGAGGAGCTGGGTAAGTCCTCTTGCTTCCCTAACTCTGAGCCCCTTGGTGAGCCAGAGAAGGCAGGCCCGGGGGCTGCACCCCCACTGTAACAGAGGCCTCCACGTTCCCACGGCAGTGACTGTCCAGGATTGGAAGCTTCTACCTGCTTAAGAAGTAATGACTGATCTTTAACCCCTACAGGGAAGGTACAGGGAACAGGACATGGGGTGGGCTTGAGGGACCACCTTCTGCAGATAGAAGAGGGGTGAAAGGGGTCCTTTTGGAAATATCTGAGAAGGGAATGTGGAGGAATAGGCCAGGCAGCGGCCAGATGGACTCAGGGCTCCCAGGCTGGGGCACGGCAAGGCGGCAGGAACTGGCGGGAGCCTGCCGCAGGCCTGGGTCTCAGCACCCTCCCAGGCCTGACGGTTTGCGCCCACCTGGGGCAGCTCTGCCTGGCTGCCTGGTGGAGGCCCAGTGCCCCAGATAAGCATCGGGACAGCAGTGAGAGCAAAGGTCCCAGCCAGCCTCTTCCTGCCCGGCACCACAGAGGGTACCTCCTGTCGCGTACCTGGCAGCCCTGCTTCTTGGGAGCCGGAAAGGCCCTGGTGCAGCCAGCCCTCCAGGAGCTCAGCGTGGAGCTGGAGAGTGAGGAGGGAGAAAGGCTTTTTGTAGGAGAGACACTGACTTGGGACCGTGAGGAGCCTTGGGAGGAGCCAGGCCTATGGGAAACGGTAGCAGGGACGTTTGGAAGACGAGCGTCCGGGTTGGGCTGGGGCCAGGCCATAAAAAGCCCCAAACGCCAGGCTCCGGCTTGGGAGTCAGACAGACCTACGTTCGAACCTCAGCTCCAGCACTCCTAGCTGTGTGAGCCTGAGCGAGTGATTTCACCTTTCGGAGCCACAGTCCCCTTGTTTACAAGGTGGAGGTAATCACTGTATCTTCCTCAAGCGATCGTGGTCAGACTTCCGTGAGAGAGGGACATAGAACTGTCAGCACAGCATCTGCCTCAGTAAGCGTCTGGGATCATTCAGAGAGTGCAGAGCTGACCCTAAAGAAAATGGTGTTTTGAGCAAAGGAGAAACCATCAGTTTAGGAAAGAGAATGAAGACCAGGAACCCACTGATTACCTCATTCATTTACTGAACAAATAACTATTAATACCGCCAACTCTGAGGCAGGCTCTCAGATCCAAAGTCGAATAAAACAGGAAACTCGTGGCCTGGTGGGGCAGTCAGTCTAGTTCGGCAGGTGCTAGAGTAGAGGTGTGCACAGGAGGAGCTCTTGGGAGGGCGGGTGTTGAGGGGAAGGTCAAGGAAGGCGTCCCCAGGAGGAAGCTGGGTATTGAGGGATGATTGGGAGCTTGGTGGTGGTTGATGGGGAAAGAGCGATCTGGGTGAAGATACAGAGGTGGGAGGACCCAGAGTCAAAGCAAGTCTAGGAATCACAGGATGGAGACTGGGAGGCAGGTGAGGGGAGTTGCAGGAATCTATCTGATGAGAAACAATGAGGGGGAAGAATTCAGTGGGGTGGAGAAGAGGGAGCTTAGAGCTCTACGAGGGAGGCAAATGCAGTGGAACTTGGTGACTGAATGGCTGTGAGGGGAGGGGTGGCGGGAAGGGTCCACTGGGTAACGGGGACCAGTCACGGAGAACGCAGAAGGAAGAAGAGATCAGGGAAATGCAAATGCAGCTTGGGAAGCCGAGTTGGAGGTGTCTGTGGGACACCCAGGGAGACACCGCAGTCCAGGAGACACACGGTGCCTGAGTCCAGTGCTCAGTGAGAGCTGGGCTAGACTCGGTTTTCGGAGTCATTGGTAGAGAAAAGACAAGGGGTGAAAGAGGGCGCACGCAGAATCCCTTAACTGGATTCCAAA